TTGAACCCTGGATGAACACCCAAAGGTGGAAAATGTAGCACACACATATTTCCAGGACATAGTTGACTAATTTTAATTTCATGTCAGATAAACATGCTAACGTTATTTTGTTGGCTGATCTTTTGACTGGTTTTCTATTCCACTTGATTAACAGTACAATGTCTTGAATAACACACACATAATCTATGTAACATAGTCTAACCAACTGCACACCAGTGAGTAAGTATACTACAAAGGCACTTGATAAGTCACGCCACAGAGAGGTCATATCAGGCGAGACTAAATGTTCTAAACAGGGCTACACTCTCTCTCTGCTCTCACACTTGTTGGTTGCGGGCAGCATTCTTGCTTCTGGCAATGTTTTGGTTGGAGCCTGTGTTAAATTCCAACAAGTCAAACATGTCAGTCAAAGTGTGGGGCATTGTCTCTATTTGGTGGATGCAGGACTGACAGTCAAGATTGTACACTCAACAGTGCACAGACCCAGCTGCGTTAGTGATGAAACTGTTAAGACAGACGAGCAGTGTAGTGAAGGACTCACCCTGGACAAGAGACTCGTTTTTGAACATCATACAACTGACAGCTGTAAATTGTTCTCTGTCATCTGTAAACTGAATACAGTTTCTGTTATTTCCCTCCTTGAGTTATTTCTCAGGAAAAGCACTTTTCCACTTTTTTCCCCCCATTCAAAACAATAAATATATGTATATAGTATAGATCATCCAAATGCACGGGTGACCAACAAGCCACTGGCTTTCTTGTAAATGCAACAGACACTGGCCATGTTGTGAAGCGCTGCTTAATTTGATACCCAACACATTCTCTGGACATGACATACAAACAGAGAAAGTAGTCAAGGTACAGTGACTGCCATCCAGGGAGCGAAATGATGAAAGTGCAGCTTGCTGGACATGTAGCTGCTGGGAAAAGTCATAGTGGCCATTTGGTGTTTTGACGACGATGGTAGTGGAGAGCGCTGTCTAACACGTTGATCCAAAATTTATCATAAGTGTTCAATCAGGTTGAGATCCGGTAACTGTGAAAGCCATGGCATATGATTCACATAATTTTCAAACTCAGTAAACTATTCAGTGACCCCTTGCCCTGTGGATGGGGGTGTTGTCATCCTGGAAGGAACCACTTCAATCAGGATGTTTCATCATAGGATAAAGGTGATCACTCAGAACAACTTTGTATTGATTTGCAGTGAGCCAAGTGGGGGAACCAAACCATGCAAGCAAAACACCACCTCAGAATATGGTAAATATGTAAACCAATGTCTGGTTCTTGCATCAGTGAACTCTCAAATGTGAATTCAATTTTGTAATGAGGGGTTTTTGCACTGCAACCCTACTACAATATCCTTCTCTATGTAATTGTGGACATAATTGTCCACTGCTGACACATACTACATTGACATTCCCAGTCACTTGGACAGAGGTGCTCTTCTTTTTTTTCTTACATGTCACAATAAAGTACAAGCATCATCAAACATGTGCCGTCAACCAGTCCTATTTACTGATGTCTTTCCCATTGATCTAAATGCAGATGTCACTTCAGTCACTGTTCCTATTGAAACAGTAGGCAGTTGAGGAGTCTTTATGACTGAAGCTTCTGCCATCAGTGCCCAGACCCCCTTTTAAAGCCACAGAGATCTTTTCTTCTTGCCATCTTGATACAAAATCAGAAACAGCTGGGCCAGCTCAGCATTTTTATACATCCCATGATTGGATGTTAATTGCTTAATTCTACCTTGCTGTGCACCTATATGGAAGCATCTGCATTCCTTCTGTTTCTTCACTCATTTGTGCAGGTTTTTCTGCATGCACAACAGTGTTTGCCTGTTTTTGGTGGTCAGTGCACCAACAATGTTCTAAGTTCCCAACTGGGCTTTCTCCTTTGATCTCTCTTTCCTGAAAAACAGCTCTCCATTGCAGTCCTAACAGACCAATCGATGTAAAACAAAAAAAAAAACCCAACATACTGATGCTCATTTGTCCTGACAACTTTCTCTATTTATTTTCACCACTTTGCTCAGAGTTGTACATGACAGGAAAACAGGATGCCACCGCCAAGTGAGCACCAATGCTGTCTGAGAAATGGGGGGATTTAGGTCATTTTCATCTACATCATTTTTTATTAAAGAGAAAGTAATGTACAAAATGAAAGACATAGAGCACCTGGGCACCCTGGTGGTCATAATGTTCTCACCCCAGACACCAACAACGCTCTGCACTGTTGTGTCTGCACACCTTTCTATCAGACCAGCATTAACTGTTTCAGCAGTTTGACTACAGTTAGCTCGTCTTGTTGGATCGGACAAAAACTGGCCAGCTTACGCTCCCACCTGCATCAGTGAGCCTTGGCCACCCATGACCCTGTCCTCAGTTCACCTCTTTTCCTTCCTTTGGACCACTTTTGATTTAGGTTCCTGACCACTGCAGACGGGAACACCACAACACTGCAGTTTGGAGATGCTCTGCCAGTAGTCTCAGCCGTCACAATTTGGCCCTTGTCAAAGCAAAGTGCTCAAATCCTCACGCTGCCCATTTTTCCTGCTTCTAGCACTCAACTTGAGGACAAAATGTTCACTTGTTGCCTGATATATCCCACCCACTGAGAGGTTTACATGATAACCAGATAATCAGTGTTATTCACTTCACCTCTCAGTGCTTATAATGTTATGGCTGATTGGTATATGGCAACCTTGAACTTCAAAGTGATAAACTCCATTTCTGTGTTTGTGCAGTTGTGAGTTTCAGGGTAACATGATTTGTGGAGTTTGGGATTTGTCCAGGTGCTCCGGATTTCTCCTGTTGTCCAAAGACCTACAGGTTAGGTGAACTGAAGACTCCAATGTATGTGGCGAGATATTGTAATCTTTTGAGCATTTGCATTGTTAGACGTGAAATCCACCATCTGGAGTGGAATTAACTAAAATGTTGTGGAACATTTCTTCCCTTTTACTGATTGACTCGCATTATACAGTTCTGTTACAAGCCATGGGATCTGTCACAAGACTCCAAAAGGCTTCAAATGATTGCAGTAGGCAGCTCATCAGCACAAATTTACTGTTTAAACAACAAATCAATACACTCACATGTTCCTGTTAAGAATTTTAAATTACACACAATGACACATAGTTTATAGGCCACTGCTCCTCCTGCTGTTTTATGAAAGCCTTGCTTCCTTTATTCATCCATCCATTCCAGTTCCACCTATTACTATAATCCTATAATGATTATAAAATGTGTTTTTAAAGAATAGATATTCTGAACCCCTTCACACCACTGCATTCTTTTAAACCTGAGGGGATAACAACCACATCAGTGCATTTATTAAAACCTCTGCTGGTGGCGACTTGCACTTCCATGTTTTATATTATTATAATTGACTATAAGCACAGTACCACACAACCAGAATCAAACCAACCTATAGCTTAATGATTGGAACAAATAGTGAATTGTAATTTTTCTGACCAATATTGCATTGGGCCTTTTACACGGAAGATAATTTCACATAAACCCTAGTATAAAATGCAGGTGTAACTCATAAAATAAATTATGACTGAATTCCAATTAGCTGCTTCAGTTTCAGGGTACTTGCTCTTGGTGGCTCACTGTCAGTGCATTAAAAGAACAGAACCATTGTTAATGTAACTAGGAATACCTGTATGTACCTTTTTTGTCTGCTGTGAAAAAAGCCTGTTTTGCAGATTTCTTTTTAAATTATTGGTCTGAATATTATCAAACATCTAGAAAGCATTATTGGAAACTTATTTTTTTTTCTATAAAAAAAAAGAATCTGATCAACAGTTGCAGAGATCATTTTGTTTTTTCAAACCAGAAAGCAAGAGAAAAGTCAACTTCCTTCAGAGCTTTTATGGTGATACCCTTATATAATATGCTTAAATGTTTAACTGGGAGATTGACTACTGTTTATCTAACAGTTGCTGGTCAATCACATTCAACAAAATGTCAACTAAAGCCATATATAGCTACCTGCTAAATACCTGACTGAGAATGACGTGAAGAACCACAGATACTATCATTTTCCTATCAAAACAGTGAGAAAACTAAACACCTTTTTTTGTGAAAGCAAAAAAGTATGTATGTGAGTATGAATGAACCCTCTCTGGTTATGGAACAGTTGTGGGACCATCTCTCTTGACCAGGGAGCAGCCGGTTATTCTCCATTAGATTTTGGTAAGGCCCTTTTGGTAACTGTACAAATGAATTTTATCTGCTGAAAAAGTGTTTTAATTCAACCACAGCAGGTGTACAATCATTAAGGGCTGTGATCATGCCTGTAGTGTAGTCAGAAAATAAAACATTAAACAATTAAACAGGTCTGTGAGGTTTAAGTGCTGCAGCTTTCAGGACATTTGAGGCAGTGTAAAACTGGTAATTCATCAAAAGACCTATGGAAAAAAGTCCTCTGAGCTATGATCTTAAACATAGAGACAAGAAAGCCACAGAACAGTATGGTATTGACTCTCTTGACCTCACTTCAAATGATCATGCCCTTGAGTTGGAGACTTAAGACAAAAAGTCCCTCAAACAACCAACAAATACAGAAAGGAAATGTATGTCTGTGGGTCGCAAACTTCCACACTTCAGTAAACTTGGCTGATTCATGTGCCAGATCTTTCCCTTTTTTCCCAAAAGACTAACTCATATTGCCAAATACTCAGCCTGTATTGTCTGTCTGATCAGGCCACCTGTGGTGAACATGTCTGACTTCTTTTTAGCGTCAGTGATATATGCTGGTCTCCACAGATCATCCTTCTCCTTGAATAAGCACACTAGCCATTTCCATTGTTTAGGACAAGAGGAAATGTGGCCTGATTTAGACCATTGTCCTGGACAGTTTTTTTTTTTTCTGGGCCAGTCCAGGAAAGAAAAAAACTACTATATTCCCACTAT